TGTGGACGTTCCCCCATTCCCTCTCCTCCACGGCATCATCAAGGGCAAAAAGCATCGCCCCCAGGTCTCGCAGGTCTACCCACTAGATCTGGGATCCTGCCCATGCGTGTGGGTCGCCGCCCACCTGGACTAGAGACCGAGATGGCTCCACGCCGTTCCCAAGTGGCACCGACACATCTTGTGGTAGCAACTCCTAAGGAGCGGCCCCTCCGATGGTAGAGGGGGCGGGTGACATGGACGTGAAGGCCTGACCCATCACCACATCCGCTAAGGACACCTTAGGTCCACCCTCTCTCGTCTGCCCTGCCATAGACGCGGCCACCAGCACGGATGATGGCTCCGATCGCGCCGTCTCCGCCTATGACATCGTGGCCGCGCCACGTCCACCACAGATGCCTCGAGTGCGTACTCCTCCATCCGCCCCACCGTAGAGGAAGCCACCTGCGTGGATGATGGCTTCGGTTGTGCCGTTTTCGCCTATGATGTCACGGCCACCCGCGCGGATGATGGCTCTGGCTATGCCATTCCTGCCTATGACCTCACAACCACACCCAGCTACGCCATATTCACCACGGGGATGCGCCCTCCTCTGTTTGCTCCCTAATGGATGCAGCCACAGGCTGCACCCCTCCAATCAACATCGTGGCCCCCCAGCGCTGCTCCCGCTCACCTTCGGCGCAATGCTAGCCGGCTTCTGGTGCATCTGCCGAAGGGCGAGGCTCTTCTTCGACGCTAGCCTCAGGAGAGTCCCACCTCCGCCAACACTGTGAAAGACACGACAATCAGTCTATGGTAAAATCCGTTAAGAGTGAAGGAGCGAAGAAGTTTTTTACTCACCTCGATGCCACCGGACGATGATGTTTTGGGGCCGACCTGCCTAATCCCAGCCATGCCTCATTGGTGTGTTCCTGTTTTGAACCTTCCCTCTGCTCAAAAGGCCTAGACGGAGCGAGGAGGACGGTCCCCGCTGGCTCCGGGGGCGCCTCGAAAGGCCCGGACGAAATGGGCCGGCTTGATTTCGCCGGCTCCGGGGGCGCGTCCTGCCCCTCCTGCCCTGGGGCATGCCACAGGAAGGGTCCCTCCCACGGCAAAGACGGGTCCTCGTCCCATCCTCCCAGCTCGTCCCATTGGACAGGCGACCCAGAACCAACGCCCTCTTCTTCCTCTTCCTCTTCCTAACCTTGCCACCACCTTCGCGGTCCAACCTCGCCTGCTGCTTCGCTCACCGCTTCGCCTTCTCCTCATCTTTCTTCTTCTTCATCTTCTCGTCTGTGGGCGCGTTTGCCGCTCTCATGGCCGTGTGCTCTGGCATAGGCACGACAGAGGCCCGAAAGCCCAACCTCACCGGTAGCTCGATGATGCCCGCGTCCGGCCGCATCACGGGATGTCCTGGGATCGAGAACACAGCATCAGACTCCTCTATAGCTTCCTTGATGTGTTGCGTGACCTCATTGTCATGAAGCGGCCCCTAGGCGAGCACCGTCCCACCGAGCTACGCGCCGAGCGTCATCCCGTACAGCGGGAGGGCACGCGCCATCAACGGCGCCACCCTCCTCACATGATACACCTTGATGACACCAGGCCCGCGGAGACCATAGTTTTTAGGAGCGCGATGGCGTCTAGGAGGTCGCGGAGCCTTTTCTTTTCCTTCTCGGGGGTCCCCACCGCCACACCGGTGGTGCCTCTTCAATTAGGTGTCTGGTGAAGTCCGACAAGGGGTAGTTGTGTCATTCTTCACGTAGACTCGAAGCGCGTGCCATCCTTTGTTGGACCTCGACAGCGGACAGGTCATGTACTCGATGGACTGGTGGCCTCGGAGGTGGATACATGCACATCCCATCGGCACCGGCAGGTCCCCGCTTCTCTCCCTTTTCTTGTGCAGGGAGACGGAGAAGAAGTACCTCCACAGCTCGAAGTGGGGTTCGATCCCCAAATACCCTTCGCACAACGCGATGAAGGCCACGATGTGCTAGATCCCGTTGGGATTCAGGTGTTGCAACTCGATCTAGTAGTGGTGCAGCAGTCCCCAGAGGAATGGGTGGGGAGGAATCGCGAATCCGCGCTCATGGAAGGGCGCGAAGGACACGACGTAGCCGTCGGGCGGTGACGACGCCTCCTCATGACCAGGCATGAGCCACTCCACCACCTCGGTTCTCCCATGGAGAAGACCATGCTTGACGAGGCCATCCACGTGCGCGTGGGTGATGTCAGAGCCATACCACGACTCCATGGGAAGCAAGAGTGGAAGAACAAGAACTTTGCTAATGACAGAAGAGCGAGGACAAGAAATCCGGCGCTAGCGGCGGAGAAGCGAAGAAGACAAGGCTGCGGTTAAGCGTACCAGAGACGAAGGGAAAGTCCCCTATTTATAGGGGAAGGTGGAGCAAGAGGCGAACCATCCGCCTCGGTTGACGCGCCTGTCGTGCCTCGTCATTTCACCTCTCCAGGAGTTGTGCACTCGCCGGGCACGCCGGATGACGGTTCGCCCCCTCAGTGGGCCAAAAACCGCCGTAGGTAAGGAGGGATATGGAGCTAAAAATGCTCCCACGGCTTATTAAGGCCTAGGAGTTCGAAAGTTGGCCCATCGATGGGTTTACAACTGCTCCGGGGCACCTTTAGAGTGAGGGGTGGTTAAGGATGGGCCCGCTAGCGGCCAGCACTAAGGCGCACGAGCGCCACGGGCATCCCAACCCATGTTCGAGTCTTGGACGGTGCGCGGTCCATGGTTTTTCCTCGAAGAAAGGCAATGAGCCCTTAGGACCGGTCGAACGGGCCCGAGAACTATATGGACTGGCCATCAAGAATCTAGAGTTGGTCACCAGCTGACCCATGCCGGACTCCACAAATGGGAAGCCGGGGCCCCACTCAGACTAGCCCGTTAACAGCTTATCGAGCACCATGATTCGTCCATCGAGGAAAACATGGCATGGCTCATCCCCTCCGTTTTATCGAAAAAACGCTTGAGGGAGAACGACCACAAGACGAGTTGACCCCTCGACCGGACCCCTGCTACGTGCAGGGGGGCTCGGGAGAAGTTGGACTCGCAAGGAGACCGAATACGCGGTCGCATGACAATGGCGGATCGATCGGATCCTAGGGGAGATCGGAATCAAGAGAGATCTTTTCTGACACCCCGAATCCCGCGGCTTCATGCTTTCGAAGAGTCTGAACGCGACGGAAAGGAATCGTGGCCCTACCAAGACATCCTGCGGCCCGTAAAGGGAGATCAAGACCCTCAGAATCCTTCCACCTGAAAAAACCTTCGAAGGAGTATCCTACTCCTCCGCAGGCTCGGGGGCTACTGTCAGGTATCAATATTAGGGATACCTGACAGAATAAGCCTGATGGTCACGAACGCTAACTCACCCGAATGGTCAAGAGCGTATTTGGCTCTCACCCGACCTCGAGGGTACGAGCTCCGTCTCGCCCGACCCCGAAGGTACGGGCTCCGTGTCTCCTGATCCCGAGGGCGCGGGCTTTGTATCGCTAGACCCCTAGGGCGCGGGCTTCGTCTCGCCAGACCCCTCAGGTGCGGGCTCCATTTAGCTAGACCCCTCGGGCGTGGTCGTCGCCTCACCCGGCCCGAGGGCGTGGGCTCCGTGTCGCCTGACCCTGAGGGCGCGAACTCTGTCACGCTCGACCCCGAGGGTGTGGGCTCCATCTCGCCTGACCCCTCAGGCACGAACCTCGCCTCGCCAGACCCTCGAAGGGGGATTCCGCCTCACCCGACGGGGGTCCGTACCGCTTCCAACTACTACGGGTCTAAGAGTACGAACCTAGGGTCAAACTTCTGACATCAGAAAAAGAGTGGGCGCGTCTTGACATGACCCGCGGCCACGATGGGCCATACCTGAGGACTCACGTCGCCAACAGTGTCGGGCGTGCCGGCGCTGTGCTATCTAATCCCCGCACGACTTCCGTCAGAGATACCTGTTGACCATGCTGCCCGCCGGGACGGAATGGGCGCCACGACCGACTGACGACGCGTGTGGCGCCAGTGGCGAATAGGGTCGCGACGTGGAGCCGTCCCCGTCATCATCCACAGGACCGGCGGGACCCGCGTGAAGGAGATGAAGGGCACCGCGACTCCGAATGCCTTCTTCTCCCTCGCTTTTCTACTCTTTCTATTTCTCTCATGTAGCCTGCGCCTTACTCTTCATCTATAAAAGGGGAAGTAAGACGCCCCGCGAAAGGCAACGGCTCAACGCTGAAAGGAACTGAGTTCAACTAGACTCAACTCCATTCGATCCTTCCATCAGAGACTTGGGACATTCTCCCTCTCTCTTCCATTTGTAACCCCTAATACAAACAAGTGATGGTAACACGAGCAGCCTCAAACTGGACGTAGAGACATTCCGCTCAAACCAGTATAAACCCCTGTGTCCTCCGAGCACACCATCCGAGCCAGACGCACAAACACAAATTTACTGGTCGGCGGTTCAAAACATCGACAAGCTGCTACGTATTTGTTGGAATCAGATGCCTTAGGCTGGTTTTGCAGAGTTCATAAAGTATTAAAGCGTCTGATAATTTGCTTCGTGCTGAAGCTTTACTAGAATGATGTCCCTGTACGCAATGGTGCAGTGCTCCACGAGCCATCTTGGCGATAAATATTTGGAACTAGGTTCTCTCATGTTAATTGCAATGGTAGTGAAGGAGTACTGTTCTGATCCTCTGTAAAAGCTAGCTTATCTCTGCTTAACACAGGTGATAACTCTGGAAATATTCCAGCTCGAAATGGAAACTTCAGCATGAATAGCAACGTGATGCCTTCCGCAGTTTGCTGCAAACTTGCTAGCACATGTTGCAAAGTTCTTTGATGAACCCAAGCAAAAGGCGAAACGTAAATTAGGCGGAGCAAGTTGGCAGCTTTTTCACTCCGGATCACGCCTTTTGGCTCCCATCCTTTGCAAAAGCCGGAAAGGCTGCTGCAGTTTCGTCCCAACCAAGTCTCTCGTAACAGGTCGTGAGGCAAGCAAAGACATGATCATCAATTCACCATGAAAGTACGTAGTAGAGTAGATCGGTGGCATGATTTCCAATCCCCTTGTCTTTTGTTTTTGACGAACGACACGATTTCCAAATCCCAAATTGCTAGCAACAGCATAGGTTAAAGGGGTACATTTGCTGAAAGGAAGTTCGATGAGCCTGACACTGCAAATCCCTGCATGTTGTTCTCTAGAAACGTCATCACGGCGTGGCGGGGTTTGTTGGTCAGAAGAGCAACATCGCACGTGGATTTCCACACAGTTCCACCGCGTTAATTTAATAATTAGTTAAAACGAGACTGGTGAAAAGAAAGGCCAAACAAAACAAGGAGCTTCCAGCTTTCTTCTTCGCTCTCTCTGCGTGCGCCTGCGTCTGCGTCTGCCCCCCCCCACCACCACACGTCCACCTCTGCCTCTGCCTCTCCTGCCTGGGATCCGGCGCCTTGGAAATTGGGATATCCCATCTCTGATCTCTCTCCTGCGCACCTCCCGGCTACCGCAATTGAGAATTTCTCCTCGCCGTCTCGGCGCCTCGTCTCGCCCGCTGCCGGGCACGCTCGTCCGTCGCTCCCCACCGGCAATGGCGGCCACCACCTTCCTCTCCTCCTCCTCCTCCTCCTGATAATCCTGTCCTCATCCGCCCGCGCCGACCCCGACGCCGTGGTGTCCAGGATCGCCTTCGGATCCTGCGCCAACCAGAGCGAGCCCCAGGTGGTCGACGGAACGCCGCGCCCCACGCGGCCATGCCCGCGCATTTCGATCAATTGGTTGTGACGGGGATTGTTTCGTCGTGCAGCCCATTTGGGACGCCGTCGTGGGGTTCGGCCCGCAGGTGTTCGTCTGGCTCGGGGACAACGTCTACGGCGACAACAAGCGCCCGTTCCGGGTCTTCGGGAGGGACCGCACCGTGGGGCCCTGGAAGAACGCGCCGCGCTTCTACCCTTCCACCGAGGAGGAGCTGCGGAGGCGGTACCAGCTCGCCAGGGCGCAGCCCGGGTACGCCAGGCTCAGGGAGACCGCTCAGGTCAGGCCTCCCTTGTTTTCTCCCCCCATGGACGATCGCAGCTGCTCGTTTAATTTTCTCCTGACTAATTGCTTTGTCTTATTTCGTGTCATGGCCTCATGGGATTTGAGGGTTATATTGATACTACAATAAGATGTAGCACGGATATGTTGATGATACAGCATTACAATAATGACAAACGTAATACACACACACACACTAGAATGCACTCCCCACCCCAGTCCCCACTCCCGAGTTGGTTCTGTGGCAGAGAAGAAGGCATTTTAGATGTCTTAGCCTGTTCCGCTTGTCTAGTCTCTCAGCTTGTTTCAGCTTATTCTCTTACAGAATACTATTGAATCAGCCGAAACAAGCCAAAATAAGGTCGAAATGTGGGCCATGGTATCACTTTGTCTCTTCGTTGATTACAGTTTACGGACGTATGTGCTGCACTTATGGACAGTTTTCAACAGTGCTTCTTCTTTCCTCTTCTGAAAGATGGGAAACTGGTGTGGTGTCACTACTGAAATTCACTGATTGCAGGTTATTGGAACATGGGATGACCATGATTATGGGTTGAATGATGCAGGAAAAGAGTTTAGTGGGAAAGTGATTACTCAAAGGCTTCTCTTAGATTTCTTGGATGAACCTGAAGACAGTAAACGGTATGCACTTATAAGCACTGGAGTTAATCTTTGTTTTCTTCATTTTTATGTTGTGTAGTTATTGTTTGTTGAATCCATTCAGACCGAGCACATTGGTATGTTATTTGTTTTCTTTAAAGCATTGTCCTACAACCTGTCTTACATACTTGTGTCCACACCCACTACCTATTTTTCCTCATTAGAAAACAGCATCCTTCGCTGGACATACTGCATTTCATCAGCACCACATTACTTGGGGTATTCATTTTTAAACTTGGACACTCAAACATCTGTTTAATTTTCTTATATCATTTAACCATCATACAATTCATAAGTGAGTTCTATTGTTTGCTCTGCATTTATTTCAACTAAACATGGATCACTATCAACTTATCAAGTCTGTGTCTATAACGCTTGATCTCATTTAGATTTTTATTTACCTCCGGCCTTTGTTGTTGTAAGTTTAACATATATATAGTTTTTTTTTTGAGGGATCAGCAGGAGTTGTCTCTTTTTACGTTCTTTAATCTCTGCTCTTGTTCTGTTCTGTAATAACATAATATAGTTCAATAGCTATAGCAACTTTCTGGCAAATTTCTTCCATTTTTCATTTGTTTGTAGTTTCTTTCTTTATTGGAATTTAAGGTAGGATGGAATATTATTGCCATTGTTGCTCTAATGTTATTTCCTTGTTACTTTTGTGGTCACAGTAACATTAAAGTCTTCTTCCAGGATGTGACCAGACATTTCTGTTTGAGTTTCAGGATCTGCATACATACAGACATACACCCGCAGATGTCTCATAATAATCTTATTCATTTTTTAACGGTCAACAAGGGAAGAAATCTCCCTGCCTGATAATTTAATACTCTATTGTTGTTTGTTTAGGAGGAAACAAGCTGGTGTTTATGCCTCATACATGTTTGGCCCTGAAGGAAAACGTGTGAAGGTTTAGTCTCTTATGTCATGTTCAATTTTGCTGTTAACTAGAGAAGGTTTATCTAATTTATTTTTCAAATAGGGTGATATAACACATCATCGTACTCATGATGCAGTGATTCTTGAAGTCTTTGCTATGTTCTCCTTTTTTTCATTATTATGAGTCTAGTAAAATTTCCTTCAAAACAAATTCTCAAAATGGATCATGTATCCCTTCTGGTTATCCTTAGCTCTGTTTTGGCTTCGTTATTTGTTCCTTGAATGCAAACTTATCTCAGCAATTGATACTTTGTATTTAATGATATCCAAGTTTTCAATAACTTGCTACTCTGTGAATTTGAATCCAGTCATTGCTTTGTATTTTAAAGATTCTCAAGATAAAAACAATATGAAAGTGTGTATTCAAGAATAGATAATGGGCAAAATTAAAGATCAAGGTCAATTATGTTTGCAGGATACAAAGACAAAAAATACATTGATATCTGGTAAGCCTTAGGTTCAAATTTTTGAGTGATATAGAGCATGTCCTCCTCTTATATATGTAAACTTTGAGAACTTCACATAAAATTTTTATGGATATTTGATATTTATCCAATTTACACCAGATATTGGCCTATTAAGTTTAGTACATCGTTACAACATACGCATTTGTTACATCTTTGATTTTTATGGATATTTGATATTTATCCAATTTACACCGGATATTGCCCTAATAAGTTTAGTAAATCGCTACAACATACACATATGTTACATCTTTGCATGTCCCAATCAATGTAAAGCATCATCCCAGTAGCCGTTTCAAGTATCCACAGGTGGTATAAGGTCTAGAATGGTCATCCATCCGGGCTAAATAAAAGAAATATGAACTAGTGCCTTTGCCCCTTCTGTAGTAAATTGTATTTTATCATCAATTTTGAATTAAAGTTAACAGCAATGTATTGCAGGTAATCTTGCTGGATACCAGATATCACAGAGACCCGCTATTAAGTGATGGAACTATTCTGGGAGATCCCCAGTGGCAGTGGCTAGAGAGGGAGCTTCATGGTCCTCAATCAGAGATCACCATCATTGGATCTTCGATCCAGGTAAACCTATTATTTCACACACACACACACACACACACACACACACACATATATATATATATACTTGTTGAAAACTTTAAAAAATGTACTTCAAAAACTAATCTAGCCAGGAACCAAAGATGGTCAGATAGAAATCATATACCACAAGTTTTCACAGCAAAAGCTATTAAACTACTCACTCCCATGGAGCTTTCTGGATGCACACCTTAGTTTCCCACTAATGGGCTGCATAGAAGTTTTGAAAAAACTTCACAAACTTTTATAATGTCAGAAATCTGTATATGGAAATACACCTTACCAGAAGTTTTATTTTAGTGATAGTATAAAGTATCTGGTACTATTTGGTAGGCTGTTTTCCCCTCAAATAAAACAGATGGTACATGTGATTGTATTTGGTAATGGAATTTGAATAATACATTCACCTATTTGGCAGCTCTTCAATGGGCAGAGAATATCCTACTGATTCATCGCTCTATATTTTATGTCTTAATGCTTTCACTATAATAAGTAATTGCATTTTCTTTCATTTTTTTTATATGCTATATGCAGTGTAACTTCCATTTGTATAATAGCTATGTTCCAATGTACAGGTAGTGTCTAATCTTTCAGCCACTACTGGACCTTTGTTCTATGTGGAGTCCTGGGCACGCTTCCCAAGGGAGAGAGAAAGGCTGTTCAGATTGATAGATAGTAGTAAGGTTGGTTACTATTACTTTCCTGTGGATAAGCTATTATTCAGGGTCTAAGCCTTTCCATAAATAATAAAATGCAGAGTCGCAAAAAAAAATTAAAAAAATGCAGTAGTTGCTAGCATATCTCCTTCAATTAACTTTTGAAGGAATCCTGAGTCTTCTAGAAGATACCATGATACCAGATGTTTTATGTGTTCATTACTCTTATGAAACATCTATGGACTGTGTGACTATTTGCAGAGACCTGGAGTGATATTTATTAGTGGGGATGTCCATTTCGGAGAAATCACCAGATTCGACTGTGGAGCTCAATACCCGTCGTACGATGTTACTTCGAGTGGTCTTACCCAGTCTGTCGACAACGCTGTGCCAGAAGTTTTTCAACCTCTTATGAGACTTCTGGCAGTACTAACACCAACTACCATGCGAGTTTTGAGCCCAAATTGCCTGTATAAATCATGCACAACAGGTACAACTCTTTCTTGGGTAGAACCTTATAAGTATGAATCCATCAGTGTCGGATAGCTTGTTTTGTTTTACTGAATTTCTTAGTTTTTTAAGATTAAAGGTCCTTTCTGTTCTTTTTGAATCAGTAAGCTGTTGATTCTGGACAAAACTGAAACTCTCCAAAAAACTGTAAAATGTTATCATAGGATATCTTAAGGCACTGCTAAGATTTCTCTATGCTTATCTTATTTCCTGCTGTGTTCTGTTTTGGTTATACTTGTACTGTTAAATCATTTGTGTTTTGCTGTTGCAGGCCAACCAAATTTCGGAGCAATTGAAATTGATTGGAATGCTGTACCTCTGCGGATTAAACTTGAACTAAAAGATGTTGAGGGTCGTTCTGTTCACAGTGTAGAGTTCCCTATATCTGAACTGCAGTTCTCGGATGGGCACCCAATCAAAAGACAATCCCATACATTCCAACGTCACTGTACTCTCGAAACAGAGCTCCCATTGCTAACACGATACCGGCTTGCTCTGATGCTATTTGTCACCATAGCTGGTATGCTACTCACATCCATCTCAATCATTCCAACCATATATATAAATCTACATTATAAGTTTATAACCCCACTGAACAGTCTTGTAGATGTTTTGTGTTGGACCTTCGGATATCTTCCTAATTCCTCTATTTTTTTTCCTGCAGTTTTTGTCGTTGCTGTGGTGCTTCTAGCAGTCACCTGCTTGTCAAACTTTACTAAGTCCAGTAAGAAAAGCAAAAAGGAATAGCTGTGAGGTGCGGAGGACAAACGAAGATTCGGTCCAGTAAGCTAGATTTCACACTGACCAGGATCCTATACCACAGACCATGCCTTGAGCAGACAAGAACCAGATGGCACCGCAGTATCAATGAGTACACTATGCTGTTCAATTTGCAAAGCGCAGATTGGATAGGTATGTTAGCTAACTAGGACAGTAACATACAACCATGTACTGCATCGTGTAGCCTAGCTTTCTGAATCGTTGTTTCCCGTCTCATGTCTTCCGTCCTGTTTGTGTTTCTGGTAACTGGTAAGCATTACACTGTTGAGTAAAATCTTGGAGGTGGGAGTGTCCCACAAGTAGTCAGCCAACTAGTTACGCGAGCTTACAGCTTAGTGATACACTTTAACAGAGCTCGAGAGACAGTATGTGATGGTGATGTGAAATCGACTTGCGAGTACAAGAACTGCATATTCAACACGCGGTTGCTAATATGAATTGAGAAATTGGTGTTCGAGCTGCACGCAGATCCTGAAACCGCTTAGCGGCTTAGTGAGACGACGCTGTGGATCAATGTTGAGATCTATTGTATGTTAGCATCTGAACAATACTTTAGGTAAAGGAAACCACAATATATAAGAAAATTCATGCGGTACTGAAATATATTAGAGGTTTGAAAAGAAGTGTAGTAGTACGTGCGGATTATAATGATCAAGTCGTGATTCATAACCACCTCTCATATTTGGTTCCCGAATGAGATAAGTACTGTATGGGGATAATTTTCTTCTCTAATACAATGAAGCTTAGCTCTCCTGCGTTTAAAAAAACAAACTATTTGGATAATCAGCAGGAGAAGCCTTAGTGAACTAATAACTAAGAACACATTTTTTTGAAAAGGTAAAGATATTGAAGTTTTAATTTTTGGGGTGCCCAAGTAAAATATATGTTCCCTTTTGTGTAATTTGAGATACAAAATAAAAACTATCATCTCTATGTTTTTTTTTGCTTTAAGGTCACGACCAAATAATCCATAGTATTATCACTACCACTACCATGCATGCAAATATTAGGTAACCAAAAGGCGGAACCTGAACAAAGTTCAAATTCTGTGCTTATATCTTGAGCAATCATCTTTGAAGAAATTATGGAAAACCTGAAAGAGCAGTGCATTTCTCCCGCTTGTTCTGAAAACATTCAGACAGATTAATTTAGGTCATGAACATACCAATGCAAGTTTGAGCCCAAAATGATTATATCAATGATAAAAATTGCCATAAAATGTTAGAACAAAACCATGAAAAGAAAAAGAGATGATGGGAGGGGTTAGTGAGTGAGCCAGGGAGTGTCCATACGAGTCCCGGGTAATACCTTAATGGGAAAGATCAGTGGGAGTTGTTGCCTCATCCCGTAAAACGATTCGGCTTTGCCCTTCCCCAATTTCCTAGGCTCAACCGTTGGGCCCGGGCCAGACCCACGTCACCACACCAACTCTTTAGCCCTCCATCTGACTAGAGTGACAGGCTCGCGCGACCGAGCTCGCTGCTGACTGTTGGGAAGTGTGCTTTCTTAAGCTGGGTTGCTAAGAGTGTGACTAGCGGTATGGGACTAAACAGAGCGCTTGGTTTGCAGAGACAGAGTGCGAGAATGCATTTATAGTCTGCGCGCGCTTTTGCTAATCTTCTTAGGCGCTGCCTTGTCTGCACGCCGCCTGTCAAGGCTGAACAGTGAAGAGGACTGGATAGATTCATGTACAATGGCTGCAACTGTCATAGCTTAGCTAATTCACCAATTGCTATGCTAGTTAAACGGTGTCAATTCAGTTATAAGTGTAATCCTTAGATAAGATTATAATACCAACCAGCCCCTTAATGCCATCAGATCAGAAACTGGCACCTGATGAAGCTCTCGTTTCTCGGCTGTCCGCACCGTTCCTACGTGCACTGCAACAAACTACTCGTAGTAGTTAAACTTCCATATCACAACGGCCAACAAACACAGAGGGCCTCCGCCAGCTATTGCTGATCAGGCCGGCCCATCAACGGCAATGAGGCGCCGTGCTCCCGGACCAAAATAAAGGAAAACGTTAACATTACCTCTCTTTCAAAAATTTTTTTTTCTCTAAACTCTAAAACCGAATAAACAATCTCCCTAAACTTTTGAAATAGTTTGTTTTACCTGCCTGACCGGTTATAAACGGTTTTCAAAGACGGTTTTATCTCTTTTATTTTTTATTTATTTCGACTGAATTTTTAAAAAATCATAGTAAATCACAGAAACATCATAAAATGGAACATCTAATTTTATTGGACTCCACGTGAGTAGATCTATATATTGAACATATAATATGGTATGTTTTAGTACAATTTTTTTTTTTGAAGCTTTAGATCTATGTTTTTCTGTAATTAATTCATAGCTGCAGCTTTTCTATGAACCAACTGAGGTGAAATTTTTTCTGTAATTTTTTTTCGAAGATTTACAGAAAAGCATAGATCTAAAGTTACAGTAAAAATTTTCTAATAAAGAATACCATATTATATATTTACTGTATAGATCTATTCATGTGGAGTCCAACAAAATTAGATTTTTTTTAATTTTATTTTATGTTTTTTCTATGATTTACTATGATTTTTCAAAGATTCAGTCGAAATAAAAAAAAAGAAAAAGAAAAAACAAAACAGCCTTTGAAAAACGCTTATAACCGGTCGGGGGAAAACAAACGGTTTAAAAAGTTAAGGGATGTGCTTTACCCGGTTGTAGAGATCAAGGAAAAAAAGTAGACTTTCGCAAAACTTTAGAAAAATAACGTGGACTTTTTTCCCCAATAAAACCCGCCTCATTTTCATGGGCGTCAGCCTCTTTTGATGCAGTCACAGCCTCACAGTCAGGCACGCGCTGCCACACCACACACATCGGCCGGCGAGCTGTATTTGCTTTGGATCCGATTAACGTAGCAGAATAGCAGTATGGGGCTGATGAAGGACGAGAGTTTTGTTATTTCAGTAAAAACGCCCCCAAGTTAATTAAGCTAGTAAAGGGAAATAAAGTTTTGAAATTGATGTGTTAATTGATGTATGTCCATGTACAACACTACATATAAGGGCAAATGCGTGTAAACATGTGCCATTGTAAACTTTTCTATTAATCCATGTAACCCTTAAAATGAGTTGTTTCGTAGTGGCTTGATATTGTATCCCTTTTATCAGTACATCGGTGAAAGTGATGAAAATATATGGCCATTATGGCGACACACGATGGTGCCTTGATGGTCAATCCATTTGGCGTCACTCCAACTGCAAAACTCGATGGCTCGTGGCTCGTGCCCTTTGACCATGTCTTTCTTTGGAAGTTGAACCAAATCTTGAAATTGATAGATTTTTTTTTCTCCTAGCAATTTCTGGCCCGTTAGTCGTTGTTGGGACTCATCCTTTTAGTGTTAGAGATGGTTAGTTTTCGCATACACTACGAGGCAGTACAAAAAATTAGAACCCACTCACTCTATTTTGGCAGGGAGGCTTCAACTTGTCAGTCATTTATTTTTAGGAAAAAAAACAATACTCCCTCCATACTTAAAAATAAAATCGTTTTAGACAGCGACAAGATCTCCATAACATAATTCTTATTTTTATAAAGATATTTATTAAAAATAATATATGTAATTTTTTGTGAAAGTATTTTTAAGGCATATATATATGGTTTTTTTTCAAACACAACAAATGTCTGTTGTTCAAAACGACTCTATTTTCTAAAAAAGAGAGTTGGTAGGAGGGGATAGTTTGCGAGCCCACGGCTCCACGAAGCAGGCTGCGCGTGTGGCACACACAGCCTGGCGACAAACGACCTGGGACTTGAGCATCGGGCTCAACCCTTTGCCGCCCTGACAACGTGGAAGCCCAGCTCGGCGAGATCAGGGGCTTCGGGCCGGGGCGGACCCCCGACCCATTTTTACCCGCCGGCGATTGCCGGCCTCCCGGGCCAATGCCAACACCCCCCTATTCAGCAGGCACCTGGCAGCCCACGACGAACCCCTAGGGCGTCGAACAATTTACCACAGCGACGACCCGAGCCCCGCCGGTAATATCGTCGGCGAAGGCCCAACAACGTGCGCGCGCGCGCGCGCCAACAACCTGATGTGGTTTTGGTCCCCTCCTCAACAACGGCCCAAGTGCGCCTTCGACGGCCGGACTGCACTCCTCGCAGTGTCCACGGCCCAACAGAGCACCCGTCTTTCCTAACGGGCCTCATCAACAGGTCAGCGTGGCTCACACACTCCCTGTGTGGCCTTACAGGGCTCAACTTGGCCGGGGGGGGTCCAGAGGACCGCAACACCCTCAACAACAGCTGTGGGTCGGGGACTGGGCACCCACATGCCTTTCGGTGGGCTGGCTTTGACATGGGCTCGAGCAAACTCGTCCTCCAACCAACTCTTTAGCCCTCCAAAGCTGGAGTAACAGGCACCCGCTACGGTGCTCAGCCGACGCGCGCGCTGAGGGATGGCTCTTTAAGCTGGTTAGCTCGACGTTCGGTAAGCAGTGTGGTGCTAATGTAGGAGCAGGCGCTCGAGTGTTTGTTGCTTCCCTTTGCTGCTCCGTGGCGTGAGAAGTCCACCTTAGATGGGCCGGTTGACCTCCTGCACGGTTGTTCGACGGTGCGTTCCTCAAATCAAAAGAAAAAAAAGTTCTACGGTGCAGGATCGGAAAGGCTGATCAGCCCACGGTACCAAGGATTGCACTGGCAGTCAGAAAGACAGGCACAAAGCATCAACGCAAGTCTTTTTGCTAAAAAAAAAAATCAACGCAAGTTTTTTTTTGTCATGGCCTTTACGATTCCTTCTCAAATTTATGTCTAATGTTTTTCGGATAGTTACAGCTCTTCCTTAAGGAAAATAAAAAATAAATCTGTCATTAGCTATTCGAACTAAAAAAATATATACTTTTATTTTATAATTAAAATGTCGAAACCAAAGAAACAGCCTTTAATAGTTGTTTTTTAATGTAATAATATTCTATTTTATAGAAATAATAAAAAAACTGAATTAATCTCTAAATATTTATAGTTAATTTATTTATAAATTTAGAAAACTGAAGTCATTGCCAAGATTATAATCTCTTTTATTTTTTTCTATTTGAAGTTATTTGGGTCCCATTTTTTGTTCCTGCTCCTAATGAACACAAAATAATAACAACTTAAATAAGTAATCTGACATGACTACGAGGGTAAAACAACAAGAACAAATAAAATCTAAATTACTCCATATAGGGTATCAACGGTTTAAGTTTTATTTCTTACTATAATTTAAAATTAACTAATTATGAATTTTTAGATATTAACTAGATTTTTATCTTTCTGAATTCAGTGAATAAAAAGTAATTTTAATCTGCTAGAAGACTAAATTTATCTGGTTTCCAAAGGTTGCGTGACCAAAGAAAAATTGTTTCCAATTTCAAGAAATAAAACTGGGCGTCATCGATAATGCTATGGTCAAAATGGAATATGACTAGCTCTCATTTTGAGCTCAGAAGGCTGAAGTGTTTTAGTCATGAGACGGTATATCTTGGCGTTGGTACTGCTAGGGCAGTTAGACGTTACATTCAGCCGTTACAAGTTCAAATAATCATACACAGAAATACGCACAATACTGTCAATATATATATTTACTTGTTAACGGGTAATTTCAAGTGATCCCATGAATCAATTGTATGATGAACACACTCAAGATAAACCAATTTTGACGCTCTGTGGCTGGCAAGGATCACAACTCCGTCGGCAACAGCAGCTGCGTAGGGCAGATTGCAAAATTTGACCAGAATGATGGTTAACGCATGTCGACGTGAAGTTAAAAACCAGCCCATCCAGATGGCTGCTCTACCTTCTTGGCCACACCAGCATTAAATCTTTGGGATGAGCTCCCTTGGGCAGCGGCCCTGTTGATCTGTGTAGCAGCGCTTACTGCTGCTGCTGATGTTCTGAAATTATCAGAACCAAAACCCCACGCATCAGGGGAAGCACCTGATGTTGTGTTCTTGGTTATGTTTTGGCTCCCATTAGTTGCATGATCGACCTTTGGTCGGGCCTGAATCTTTGTGTCAGGGAAAGCCTGCCATGTTTTGGCATCAGAACTGGCTGATGAGGAGTTGCTAGCAAGCATCCCTTGTTCAAGCTCCCACACAGTTCCTTGGATCTTTTCCTTTCGCTGCATGGATTATAGATCTTATGTAAGATGTTAATAAACTTAAGGATAGTGAAATATGGTGCATTAGACATTGGTGCAGGTCAATCACCTGAGATCCAGAGTCTTGTGTCCTTGAGCTGACTTTGTTTGAGGGAGGCGTTGCCTCAGCAAGAGTGCGCTTCAGCTCTTGGATCTCCTGACGCTGTGATCGACAGATTGCAGATAACTTTTCATACTTGGCTGTCATCTCAGCCTTTTCTAATGTGGTTTTCTTCAACTGCTCCTTCAGACTGGACACTTCAAGTTCAAGTTCGGATGCCTTACCAACGGCAATGTTGAGATTGTGAGTGTCAAAATCTGCAACAAAGCTGTTGAATGGATCCTTCTCGCATTTTGGCTTGGGTTGAGGTTGTTGTGCTTTAATTTTCCCAGGATTTTGTATCTCCGTGTCAGAGAGACCTCTGAAACCATTATTGGACAAGGAGTTACTTTGTGCTTTACTTGTTCGTGACATCTGACCAGAATGACCATGCCTATCGCCAGGGATACTGATGTTGGTGTCCACCCAGCTTTGGTTCTGCTTTGATGACAGTGATGTCTTAATTGGCTCCTCGTCAAACAAAGGGTTCCTATTATCTGCAGCTTGAGCACCTTGTGCGTGCTGCGTCGCCCAAAATGCACCTAAAGGTGCATCTCCTGCCTTTGAGCTTCCATGTGATAAAGAACTATTAGATTGCTCTCTTGGAGGTGGAGGAGGGTTCCTTCTAGGCATCACAGGTGTTCTTTTATGAGCACCTACACAAGCAAAAAAGATGATCAGCAAATAGACATCATTTGTACAGTGATGTCCAAAAACACATCAGTAAAATAACCTCGTTCATTGATTACACATTGCTTGCAGAGAACATATGGAACGTAAATCAGGCTAAAATATTTAAATGCTCCTTACAGAAGGCTGCATGCAGAATAGAGACATGACAGAGAAGAAGGGAAGGATGGTAGGATGGTGGTGATTTTCATAGGAATTTCACAGGAATCAGTTCAATTTCATAGGAAAAACACCGGAACAGGGAAAAATCCCGTGTTCCAAACAGGCCCTAAAAGGGGATATTCCACGAGGGTGTTAGAGTATGTTAGTTGTAATTATTATCAAAATTGGAGGCCAGGCCACAGAAACAACAAATATTTAAATAGGATAATAAGGAAACAAATAATCAAAATACACAGAATTCTACTAACCCAGGAAAATGAACATAATGCATAGCATCGAATCCTACTGCATTTATCTATCAAAGATGCACCAATTTCTATTGGTACATGTCAAATTGTTGTATAACTAGGTATTTATGTCACTAGGTAATGTTAGGTCCTCCCCGAATCCAGAGGCATAACACACAGACACACACACCCTTTCTGTCGTCAAGGGCCAACTTTTCAATTGACAAACAAGAAAAATAAAAAATCATCAGTAAAGATTTGGCCCCATATACTATCTAAAAAGCATTTCAGGAAGTACTGTGAATCAATGGCAACCCCACATGATCAATAAAGTGCCATACTTGTACAGATAAAATTTCTTCTAGAACCTGACCTTCATCTTGCAAACTCAAGGAAACGGCTGGTGAAGGTCCATCAGGTAACCTCTTCTGTAACTCAAGCGGCAGTAGCTCATTAACACAAAACCAAACCTGTCAAATATACAGCATATAGCATAAGCCAAAGAAAACAATTTATCTGATTCCTAGGGCTACATGCAACAGTCTACGACTAACCTAGTATCATGGAGATGAATGGCCAATCAATCAAAGCTCTTGCCTGCGTGATGTCTGGTCTGGCATTTGGAGAGGCTTCCAGCATATCTTTGATCAACCCTGTGACAGCAGTGCTATACTTGGGTTGCTCAGGGATACGGTAATTGCCATTGAGTACCTGCAGCTTGGATTCTCCGTCAAATGCAGACTTGAAGTAGCATATTCTATATAGAAGGCACCCCAAGGCCTGCCAGTGGTAAGTAAAAAAAAAAGGTTACAAATTACTTCACTCTTCACCAATAGCCCAATGATTAATGTTAAATACAATGTGATACTTGAGCCAGATCATTATTAGAAATCACCCATTAACATGAAAAACATATGCCTTTAAACTTTTTACGCACTTAATTTGCCTGTCTCTGATAATTAAATGAAGAATGTAGCACATGATATGCAAAGGTTTGCTTAAGATTCGGAGACATGTATCCTAAAGACCATGTGCTCATGTTCATATGCTTTGCACTTACCCAAATGTCAACTTTTTCGCTAATAACTTCTCTTCTGTAGAGATCCCACATCTGAAAAGCCATCATGAAATCATTGGAGTCTGTACAAGGTTATTTTATTTTAAATCCATAGTGCGGACATCTGTTCTTTTACCTCTGGGGCCCTGTAGGCTGGGGTTGTATGCTTCCTGATGACATCTTCCTCAATGCCCATCTCCTCTGGTTTGTTAAAGCATTTATGATTAGTTGATGTGCTTCCAAAATCACATATTTTCCATGCACCGTCCAATCCAAGAAGAACATTTTCAGCTTTCAGATCCCTAAACAATATGGCAAAAAGGTTGAATGTAAGATATATTTGCTCATAGTTGATACATACTTGTTACTTCATAACTTGTTTTAGGAACTGCAAATTAGCCCCTCACACCTAATACGACACACTGGTACAAGAAATAACTGTTTACAGACAGTATTTGCCCTCCCAAGCTGTATTCAAATCCAGTACACGAAAGAAAACAATACTAATTTTCTAGTTTACCAGAAATTGCCAATTAATTTGAAAAAAAAAACTAACTGAATAGTGAGACAGAACAGCATAAACACTACCATACCTATGTGCAATTGGCGGTGATTGTCCATGCATGGCAAAGACAGCATTGCAGACATCTCTGAAAATTAAAAGCACCTTCTTCTCCTCATAGTAACCACTACCTCTGCTCTCCATTGCACTCACCAAGGACTTCTCACAGAACTCCATTACAAGAAGTGCCTCCTTTGTGCGGCCCATGTCTAAAACATCATGGGCAACAAGTGTGACCACATTTGGATGCCCTTTGAGGAGGTTCATAACCTGGATCTCCTTCATGACAAGATCAAGCGATTCTGAGTCATTGCAAATAATGTGCTTCAATGCATACATCTTTGATGGATGTACTGTGTCGCATGCCAAATATACACAAGAGAAACCTCCTTGTGCAATGGCATTTCGTACTGTGATCTTCACACTTCCGACATCAATAGTGCGACCATCCAGCCCACTCTGTGCTTTGCCCCCAAAGGGATTGAGTTTCCACATTATTGGAATATCGAGACAAAGGATGAAATACCAGTGCTTATTTTGTTGGGTATGGTTCTCCAAATGTTTCTGTGTCAACCAAAGGGCAACAGAATAAAACTTTGATAAGCAGCCACGTAACATGGAACCAGACATGTATAAAAAGGTGAATGGAATAACCATTGAAACAGTTTTGCAGTCATGATAAATTGTCCAAAGAAAGAAACAAGTCTAATGTTCTGAACTCTTGAAATGCAAATAATGATTCTCTCCATGGAGGTCGCTGAGAAAATATGCAAGGTACATGACTATGTGAGCCCATTAGTACCAGACCAAACTACATACTATCTCAGAACCCTACAGATCAAAGAAGTCACAGACTTGATATTCTAAAGCTAATTTTACTTGTTTTTTTCCCTCTCAAAACTATATACTGTATGAAATTAAATGAAACTAGGCTTCATTCCCATCATCCCATGTGTAGGAAAGATGCCCCCTTCAGTTTTCAGCATGAAGCACTATCAAGCGTAGGTGTGAGGACCAAAATTACATACTATGTTATAGCAATGTCGTTCAAATCCATCTTCCACACCCTACACAAGTAGACAATCACCTGATAAGGATTCTGCACCGTTCTGATGATTGTAACACCACGCCTATTGTTTGAATAAGCACTAATGCCCGCATTATTCACGAGAAATCGGGCGCGTCACCTAGATAAGCCGAAATAGCGAATCAGATGCAGTTACTGCTAAGCTAGGGTCACATGGAGCCCACGCATCTGTATTATCGGTTTAATATCAGGCGATCTCGAGGGAATCGCTGGATGCTTGCTCAAAGAAACACCAAAACCAAGGAATCCCGATAACCCGATGTTCGTGCTCCCGAGCTAGACAAGAGCAATACTAAAAACCAACTAAAATTTCACCGCACAGCTCGAGCGCGAGGCGCGGATCACCGCGATCCCGCGCGCATTCACACGGACAACTGAAACGATCCCCACTTACCACGCAAAATGCAGGTCCGGCTCCGATCCCTCCCAGATAAGCCAATCTAACCACTCCCAATGTCCCTCGTTCCTTGCCGCTGAAGCTCGCCGAATCTCGGTAAGGAGGCGCACCTCTAGATCGGAGGCGGAGGCCCGCGGTCGCGGTGGGCTCCGGCGCCGGCGGCGTCAGATGCGGGGCGCGATCTCGTCTGGAGATTCGGTGCGCCCGGACGCAATCTGCCGAGCCTGACGGGAGGGAAGGAGGAAGGAAGGAAGCAAGCAAGCAAAAGCCGAGACGTGGAGCGGTGGAGCCGTGGCGATGGCGAAGTGGTGGCCTGGTGGCCGCTGGTGGGGTGGGGTGTGGCCACAAATAGATTTCTTGTCGAATATTTTTGCTGCCCTTTTGTCCTCTGTTCTTTTTTTTTTTTCAACATTTTGTCCTCTGTTCTTTGTGTTTTGTATACGTGCTAGCTATCAGCCCTATGTCCGTGCTTTTGCTCCTTTTGCTAGAGGGCCAAAAGGTTTTTAAACGCGCCAGTAGTAGCACATTGGGATTAGCCCTAGACGTTCGGGCTTAGAGCAACATCAATAATAAAGAAAATCATTAACTTATAAATTAAGTTATTATAAAATCCAAGCTATACAATAATCAGCCTTATATTTATCTACAAATTTTCTTTATTATTATATTTTTTTCATTCTCTTTCTTATTCTTCCTCACATACATCTCTATTGGAAGTTTGTGATCCACTATTGTCTATGCTTCCGTGCCTAGCTTGTTGCTTATATGAGAGCTAAGCTCTCTCCTATTTCATTTATTCTTTCTTCCACATCAGCAAAAATAATGATTAGCTTGGCTATAAGTCAATTGTTGTACATGCTCTTACCCGAATTTTTCGGGTCAGGTAGTTAGGGTAATAAGAAATTTAGGTAATGAAAAATGTTACCCAAATTTAGCCTCGAAAAAACACTACCCGATAATTCGGGTTCGAGTATTCCCAAACTACCCGATATTTAGACTGCTAATTGTTGACGCCGACCATTGGGGCATCGGGGGTCGGGGCTCTCATGTCGGTGGTCGCGTCGTCGGTATCGGGGCGTCGGAGCTTGGCCAGCGTGGGGCGGCGTCGAGCATCGGCGACTCGACAGTCGGCTCAAGCTTGCGTCGTCGGCTCAGCCGCGCAGCAACGGCGGCAACTCGGTGGTCGCTAGGGTTCCACGGGGTTTGGGATTTGGGGGCAGCTCGTGCTCGGCCTCAAGCAGCTCAATCTCGAGGAGTCAGGGGTGTCGGGGGTAGAGACGTGGAGTACTGTCGTACTGGAGGGGAGTTGGCTGGTTGATGGGCCGCGTACACATAGTCGGCTTGAAGGTTGATGTTTTGTTGGGATCTGGAAATATCGGGTAATATAGGTAATTCGGGTACCAGACAGTGTTACCTGAATTTTTCGAACTAATTTCGGGTATCTAGAATCACTATCCAAAATTGAAATTGGGTAGTTCGAGTACAGGTTCGAGTATTGGATAGCGGGTAATTTGCCCGGGCTAATTGGGATACCTGAGATAGAATGGTTCCATATTTCCATCTCTGGTTTTGGGATAAGATTACCTCATTTTGTGTTTTGGCTAGGAGAGATAGATCCATCTTTGTTTTATGTTTAGTTTGAGTGATTGAGGCAAATATGATGGATGAAGTTTTATCATCGTCATTCACTCTTCGTTGTGGCCTATTTCTTAGTTGTGAGGTCCACTCATCAACTCCTCGATTTTTATCTTCTTCTTCATCCGACTATCGCCCTAATAGGTTGCCAAGGAGCTTGGACTACATGTGTTGTCCTAGCAGTCCACTGGGAGATGGCCTCCACATGCGCCACCCCACCGGGTTGAAGGGGAGGGGGAGGGAGCGTTCCTGAACTCTTTAAGCGCAGTGAACTTTGTGTTATTTCGATGTGTGCATAATTCCACAAGATTGTATGAAAGTTTTGTTAAAACGTGCGGAAGTTCTACTCTTTGTTAATCTATCATGAGGTTTTGTTTGTTGTTAAATTTCAAAAACGCTTATTCAGCCTCCTCTAGGTGACATCAAAATCTTAAAGGACTTGCCAGTAATTAATAGCATTGTACATGACAAGTATACTATTATGAAAATACTATTTAATCTACATCCCCTCATATCGAGGCTTAAAACAAGTTGATATCAAACACATCCAAAACGTCATTTATTTGTGATAGGATAAGTAAAAAGCAATAACGCTCCCGTCCTTGTTTATATATGGTCCAAGTGCATCGAACGAGATCCATGAGTGAAAAAACATAACAATCAAGTAGTTTTGACAATCGTCCTTATATTTTTTTGTTATATCGTCGTAGTGTCTGCCTATGATAAACAAGTACTTTAATTTATATGTTTACGATAGATCTTGTTAGTTTACTAGCAAATGGGTTCTAGTGCTACAAACTCCATATCATCGTTAGATGCGAGTTGTTATAAATCATATGAATAAACACATGTTATAAGTGTAGGTCACATACAAGATACGTAGAGCGTGACCCAATACTTATTGGAATGTGTTTCCTAACTCATATGAGTATCGGTAACGAGTTCGGATCACATACGAGACACATAGAAAACTCTCTGTTATTTAGTTAATTAAGAGGTGGTGAATAAGAAAATAGGTGGAGAGAATTTTTGCTTCTTTAATGTTATAGGTATAGAAGATGAGCCTCATTGGTTGGTTGCCAAAATTTTGGATGCTAGGCAACCATTTGGTTGGATACCAAAATTTGTCAATACCTCGGCATGCCAAATTCTTGGTAAATATTTTGTGCCCATGTTTTGGCAAAATTTTCTTGCTAAATCTTGGACATGACAAATTTAGGTTGTCAACCAATCAGGCCCATAGATGAAGTGAACTTATTTCTCCATAGTTCAGGCATTTTATTCATGCAATGTGAGCTTCTCGTACACTGAAATTTAGAAGGTACCAAAATCTCATTGTCGGAGGAAGCCGCATGCTGCATGTGAGTGGGAAGAAGTTGCTTTTGGTTCACGGGAGTACTTATTTTCTTCGTTACTGGCTGCAGTTGCAATGTTAGTTCACGCCTAAGGACGCAACCAAACCATGCTGGTGGCCTAGATTTATCCGGGTTGGTAGCTTGTTTTCATCAGAGTCCGTCGCGAAAACCATCACAAACATGCCGCTAGTCTGTGCTAAAAGAGACATTCTCAACTTGCGTACAATGACCCTCCATCAGAGCTCAGTAAGGTAGTGTTTAGTTCCACAAAATTTTTAAAGATTCCTCGTCACATCGAATCTTTGGACGCATGTATGAAACATTAAATATAAATAAAAAATAAAACTAATTACACAGTTTAAACGAAATCCACGAGACGAATCTTTTAAGCCTAATTAGACTATAATTGGACACTAATTGCTAAATAATTGCAAAAAAATTCGGCATCTAAACATAGCCTAAAATACAGAGGAGTGGCTCCTCCAAAACGGCTCTGGCTTCTTCTAAAAAAAGCCTTTTAAGAAAAGTCGTGCCAAACACCCCCTATATTAAACAGAACCTAACATCTGGGCGCTGCTAACTGCAATTTTTAGTTTTGTATATCTACCAAATGGTGTGAGTACTGCTAACTACAATTCTATGTTTTGTACTTCTTGTGACTTTATAAAAAAACGATGTGACTTTTGACAGTTTCGTCTCCTAAATTTTTGGATTAAATAAGAAAAAATGTCTTTGAAACCACGCTAGTATAGAAAGCAATTAAGTTATGCATTATGAAATTGAAAGTGCTATTTGTTGAAAAAAGGGGATAATTTTTATTACCTCCGTTCTAAAAAAAATACAATTATTCTACATGCGTTCTTGATTAAAGTGCCTAAAGTTTTACCAAACATATAGATAAAAAACATTAAACTTTATAATATCAAATAAGTATATATTATGAAAATATGTCTCGTGACAAATAAAATGGTGCCTATTTAGTACCATAAATATTATTTTCTTCATTTTAAATTATTAAATTATAAGACGATTTAGTTTTTCTAGATATACTGTGAACTTAGATATACCATATATCTAATCGAAAATATACGAATTTAGCAAATATTCGAAGATGACTATCGCTATCTATAATGTATAAAAAAGAACCAATACAACATCTTATCACACTATAAAAAAAGTGAGTTTTTTAGGGGACTCTCCCTCTCTATGATAACCGTTCAATCTATATGTCGTGCTATATGAGCCCTCCGTCATGTGTGATCTTATTCTTCCTCTATAACAACCGTTTGATCTACACGTCGTGCTATATGAATCATCCGTCATCCGTGATCTTACATGTAAGATGTAAGACTCCTCCTCAAATACGTCTCACGGTGTGTCTATAATCTCACCTGCCATAAGTCACGTTTATATTTTAGGAACGTACCATTGCTATATATATACGACTCCGTGTCTTTCATGCTCTTGTGTTCACGAGATAGGCTTTGATAGAGTCAAATATAATTGGTTTAGGATTAGATTACATCTGGTTGCTTCAGAGTTTGGTACGTGCTAAACCGAAAGGGGACCAGCGGTAATTTTTCCAATGCAGTTTCGTGGAGAGATGCGGGTTCTTGCCCCGATTTGGACGACCCACGAGAATGTTTGACGGACAATAACATTAATTATATATGGGCTCTTTTGACGGACGAAAGAAAAGATATACTATTACCATATTAACTTATAACTACTGTAACGCCACGACTTCATTTAGAGATGCACATGAATCTCAATAAAATGCTAAAAAAATTGAGAGATCATTACACTTGTTCCTAATGCAGCAGAATGCAAAAACTATCTAAATAGGCAACATGCATATCTTCAGAGTTTAATTAGCCGACTGTTACAGATAAAGATCTAATGAAATAAATCCAATATTGATTTGTAAAATTCAAGATATATCAAGTATATGATCTCATCATTAAATGGCCAATAACAAGACTTAATACAATAAAATGAATAGCGTAGCACGGTGGTCGATTCTTTCAGTTGTCACAGGTTCAGCTCCTTCACCGGCTGCCAAAATACAAAGCGTTTGCCACTGAACATCAGCTCAAAAAACATTTTATTGTCTATCAATTTACCGTTTCTCTGATGGTGCAGGATAAAAGTTAGAGAAGCTTTCACTGATGAAACTGAAGAAAGCTTCAGAATACAAACAAATGAAATTTCATAGAGCCATTTTATGATCCTAACAGTATTTCAGTAATTTAAAAGTTGCACACTACCCACGGTTCTCGTAATTTTGTACTGTGATGAAACAGAAAAAATAAAGATGATCACACCCCCATGGCATGTGTACAACGCAAATCAGTATTTGCAAAATGTGACAAGAATACAAGAGCACAGAATGGACTGGACATAATATAAAGTATCTGCCGAATGCGACCAGAATACAGACCTTAGCTTGTTCTAGTGATTCATGTCCTTCCATTGCTTCCGCCATTGATGTATGGCTTCTGCTATGCTGGACTTGCGGTCCTCTCTATTGTTCCAGAGTTCAGATACCACGTAGCTGCCGCTAGCATCGTACTCATTGATCTAAAGCATTAGCTACGCCCTTCAGTGGCGAAGCCAGACAAAAGTGGCGCCGGGTCGGTACTAATATACACTGGCTTCTTTGCCTTTGGATAACTGTATAAAACAATAAGTAACACTGAGTTTGCGCAAATTTATTGGAGTCAGCTGACCCCGACGACAAAGCCTAGCTTCGCCCCTGACGCCCTTGTACACCTCGCCTCGCCAAGTTGTTCCTTTAAGCCCACCAGCTTCTCATTCTTGTCATCGATGATTAGCTGAAACATAACACATACGGTGATATTAAAGCATAAGGAACTGTGGGAAATACTTTTTAGACCCTAATGTTTATAACCAAGAACTCATCCATAGTCAGGTACAAACTTGACAACAAACTGCCACACCTATCTGCTGACACAATTAAATAAGAGTTTTTTTTTCATTCCCAAATGTCAAACAAATTTCCATGCACCAACCAAATGCAAAATAGAAAACAGAATTGAACAATCCATGTTCGTTTCGGACTCCATATTGGATCATATAAAATTCTCATCTTTCCAAAACTCCTAATAACACATTAACAGAAACAAAGTATTGAAATAAGCTCTAACTATGCATTGTTCTAGGAATCTACATTTGGATCTATACATATGTACATAATAGAGACCCCTTACATCAAAAGGAAAAAAATCTTGTTCATGCATGGATGTGCCGCCATGCTGGTATTGCAACATTTTGTTTACTGTGAATGAAACACTTTAAAAAAATTATATCAAATTTGCCACATTACGAACTGAAAATGTGTCCTCAGGCTTAAACCCCAAAACAGTGGTAGGGCAGACCCTGGAGTCAGCACAGGCTGAAATCCCATGGTGGTTGCTTATAATGAAGCCGTGGCATTAGCACAGGTACTAAAGTATTTTATTAAGATTCATGTGCATCACTAATGAAGTCATGGCGTTAATACGGGCACTATACTAGTAAATTATAACTTTAAAATTATCACACTATAAAAGAGTGAGTTTTATACGTGACCTCGCTAAATGCTAGGTAGACAATTATGGAAAGGATAAACTGCTTAAAGCATATACGTGGTAAACTCACTCTAAATGAGTGCTCTCTTCTCCGACCTCTCTAGAGCCTTCGATAGCACAACTGAGATAGCGGCGGGTTCTCCACCCATGCAGGGATGGGGTTCTCCACCGTACGAGGATTGATTAACAGAAGTATGAAAATAGGATAAGATAACGGCAACACGAGCAGTTAAAAATGTCTAAGTGAGAGTGCAACGATATATGCAGCCTGAGGCATCATAACGAACGAATAATTTGAACCTCGTTCTACACAAACCAATCAAATCGATCAAACAATTGTCATCTACCTTTACTATATATTGGCAATTCAATTAATATTTTTATTTTACTATATATCGACAATTCAATTAATATTTTTATTTTACTATATATCGACAATTCAATTAATATTTTTATTTCGTTTGAAATATTTTTTATAAACATGTGCAGGTGCATATTTGCTAGTATTATTTGAAAAGGAGAGAGTAATATTTTTTATATAAAATAAATTTGGTCAAAACTCAATTGTGCTTTTAGAATTGGATCTTACTTTAATATGCGAGCATGAGCATACCCGATTTTTATTGTTGTTGAGGTGTCACTCTAAAAACAACTAAATATCCTGTCCATAAACTCTAAAAACAACTAAATAGATCCATAATCTCAGTTTTTATTTTTATTTATTTTATATTTTGTTTTGTATTTCATTTTAGAATATACAAATTGAATTTCAGATTTTGCTTTGGTGGGTGGGGAGGCCCACACAGGCAAGTCCTGCAAAGTAGGGCAGTGTCAGTACCCGCGCCAGCCTCTTTCCCCTTCAAAAATTACGGTGAAGGTTTTGACCCCGCACTGCGTGCGGCTCTCACCGCAGCGCTTTGTTTTCCTTACTCATTAGTTTAAGGCAAAGTTCTATGCTTGCACCCACCCCCTATATATGCCATCCACACAACTGCGCGCATCCTCTGCTCGCCGGTATGGGATATTTGGGATAGGTCTTCTCCTCCTCGGAACGCTTCGCTTCTCTCGTGTGCTCTGCCTCCCCGGGGCTCTGGTTCCAAACAGCTTATAAATAATGGGCCGGCCTACTTACAGGACCGTCTCGTCTTGCTAGATCATTCTGGCCCATCAGGCCTACTTGACGCATGCCTCTGTCTCAACTCTAGTCTCATCAACCAGGCCCCAAGCGGCCGAGTGGCTTAAACCCTAGCTCGCCGTCGTGCTCGCGTCCCCGCGCCTGCTGCTCCTTTCAGTCGGCTAACCGTTCGCCGCCGCCGCCGCCGCCGGCGCGCTTTCCAGCCAACGCGGAAGTGCACCAAGTGCCATGGCGAAGAAGCGGAAGCGCAGCGACGCCCCGGCGGAGGCGGCCGGCGCAGAGAAGCCCGACGACTCCGCGCTGGCGCGCCCGGAGCGCACACTCTTCGGCTTCAAGGACCCGGCCCCCGACGCCGAGCCCGCCTCCGCGGGCGACGGTGCTGCGGTGGCGCCGTTCCGGAACAGGGAGAAGGTGCTCATCACCTGCTCCCGCCGCATCACGTACAGGTGAGTGCTCCCTGTTTTTTTTTCCTTGCAGTGTCGTGACTCGTTTCATGTGGTGGGTGATTCCATACAATCGTGTGTGCTCGGCGTAGGTATCGGCATCTGATGCAGGACGTGCTGTCGCTGCTCCCGCACGCGAAGAAGGACAGCAAGGTCGAGTCGAAGCAGAGCAAGGGGAGCGCGCTGAACGAGCTGGTCGAGCTCAGGAGCTGCTCCAGCTGCCTCTTCTTCGAGGTATAGCTCTTCTACTCTGCTTCCACCCCACATGGTGGAAATTTTGTTACAATTGACATGATGATGGTTGCTTTACTTGGTGCCTGAACAAGCTGTGTAAATTCGCTCGTCTTACACTGTGTAAGTCAGTGGCGCGAAGCAAATCTCAAGCTTTGGCTTTGGTCCATGTTTTCGTTCTATGAATGTTCTCTGGGCTCTCAGGCATTGAGTAAGCAACCCCCATTTTGCTCTGGTGCCAAATTCTCTACTGGGCAATGGGCGTTATCTTTGACAGCATTTGCGCCATCCGCCATCCCACGATTATAATTGTTCAATATATGTATGAATTAGACTTTTCAGTTCTGTTAACTTATTGAATTATGTGGCTGAAGTTTTTTCCTTCATGTATTACAGTGCAGAAAACAGAAGGATCTTTACCTTTGGATGGTGAAGTCTCCTGGTGGACCATCAGTGAAATTTCTAGTAAATGCTGGTATGCTATTGCCCAAATAATACTTACACTGTGGCTGTCTTATGCACTCCAGCCTATAATTTGTATGCTTTTGTCATGAGTTAACGATTAATCAAGATGTGATGTTTACTGTAGTTCACACCATGGAGGAGTTGAAGCTTACTGGTAACCATCTGAAAGGGTCACGACCACTTCTTACATTTTCTACAAATTTTGATGAGCAACCTCATTGGAAGCTTGTGAAGGAAATGATAACTCAGGTATGTAACTGGTTTCACATGTTATGCCATACCTACATGTGGCTAAGCAATTTTTTAACAAGTGGATGAACTGCACTGATCTGTCCAAGTATCCAGATTTGCCTGTGCCATTTTCTCTTTGGTATGTAAACAGCTTGGTTTTCTAATGATAAAAATCTTAGAGGATTTTGCAAACATACAATAGGGTCAAACTCCACTTTGTTATTTTAGCACTGGATGTCTCAATGACAGATGGACCAGGGCCCACTTATCATTGGGACACCCTGTGGTAAAAGTGCAGGCTTCTGTTTGACGCAGTGGTAAATGTGCAAATTTTCTAAGAAACAAATTGTATCACCTTTTTGCTGGATTTTAATCCATAAGCACTGAAGATTACCATATGTTGGCTCTAGTTCTTTTTTGGGGGGAAACGATGGGAACATAAGAACATCTTGCGCGCTGCTATCTAATCTTGCATTTCCATTGCTAACTGGAAACCAAAAAGATGGTGTATATGAAGTTAATATTGCGTATTATACTATCAAACTAACTTTTGTTGATGATGTATGTGAACTTTCATATTCACGTGCTTTATGGGACAAATAAGTTCTTACAAAGTAGAAGATTCTTGTAAAACATGTTTGTGAAATCATTACCTGTACTTTGCAGATATTTGCTACTCCTAAAGATCACCGTAAAGCAAAACCTTTCCATGACCATGTATTTGTGTTCTCCATTGTGGATGGTCATGTTTGGTTTCGAAACTACCAGGTGATCTATCTCTCCATTTGTCATGTTGAATTTTTGTTTGGATTAGGTTCATTTTTTGTGTGTGTGCAATGCAAAGTTCATGTCTTAGCAGCATTTGAATTTTAGAAACCAACCTACTTTGGCAGATTTCAGTTCCCCACAATGAGATTGATAAAGTTGATAAAGGTGGTCTGGATAAAATGACACTTATTGAGGTAATTGCACTGAGCTTCTACATGGATACTTTACGTGCTTCCTAGTTTTCTCTAAACAACAATATATGTTTCGCTTGCTCTATGTAGGTTGGCCCCAGGTTCTGTTTGAATCCAATCAAAATATTTGGTGGAAGTTTTGGTGGTCCTACATGGTATGAGAACCCATACTACATTTCCCCCAATCAGGTATGCTAATTCACTATTCTGATGCCGAGTACTGTTCATAAGTTTAAATATATACTACTCTAGGCAACCCAGGTTAATTACTTTTCATCAAGGGCTAGTTGATACTGTGTTATTTAATTCCTTCAGTTTTTAGTTTTTAAAAGAGAGAAAATATGAGGCAGGTGATAATGAACAATTTCTCCCACGCAAGACAGAACACTTAATCACTTATATTGAAGTCATTGTGCACTTTTTAATGAAGAATCGAGTGTTGGAACTATCCAAGAACGAGATTTGAGCTAAATTTGGCACTAACATAGTCTTCAAGGCATTGAGAATTATGCTTGCATGTTCAGATCAGTATATAGTAGAACACAGTGCACGCCACTAACTATTTTGGATGAATTGCACATCATGATGTACAACACTGTGCTGTCCTGTTTTCCTTGAGTTGGAGCTAAGAATGAAAAGCATTTACTTATGCTTGGTGTTGTAGCCTAAATAATTTGCCCGTCTGTGAGTGGTGTTTATTTGAGGACCTAGGGGGTGTTTGGTTGCCCCTCCTAAATTTTAGTCGCTGTCTCATCGGATATTTGGACACTTGCATGGAGTATTAAATATAGACTGTTGTAGCCTAAATAATTTGCCCGTCTACCAGTGGTGTTTATTTGAGGACTTAGCATTGTACTACATGTGATATTGTCCAACTAGAACAAATGATTTCGTGCCATGCTTAATGTTTCTGACACTTTTTGGTTTCCTTCAGATCCGTGCACTAGAGAAGAGGCAGAAGGCAGGCAAATATGCCAAGAAGGTGAAGGCCAAGGTGAGGAGGAAGATGCACGAGATGGAGAACACGCTGGAGCCTGATGAGTTTGCTGAGCTCTGGAAAGGGGAGTAACTTGGCTTTGATCGACCTTGTCAAAGTCGTGAAGCACCAGCAACTCCTTTCAGCAAGCGCAGATTTTGTTTACCAGTGTGTCTGTGCCCATGTTGTGGAAGTTTTGTATGACAAGGCATATGTTTATTTACATAAAATCGGATTTTAGTGATGAGATAACTTCTGCTCATATGACATTCTCTCGTGTTTGCTTCTAGTTAATGTGGTGCCAAGTGTTATATCACTTCCGAATAGGTCGCTGAGAATCATGAGGAGGCGCAATCACAGCTCAAGGCTCAAGTGTTCTATGTATACAGTATACTTCAGTAAAGGTCAAGGCAGCAGAAGGCCTCATTTCAGCGTGACTGTTTTACGTAGTGGTCTCGAATTCGAACCATTTCCTATATTTTTTACCAAAAGGAAACTACATTTACCTCTGCGTTCCGAACTTCAAATCCAAACACGCTGAAGGCACTGTCAAGGGCCTGTTTGGAAAGCAAAATATTTTCAGAAATATACATGCAGAAAATTTCAGAGGAACAGAATTATTTCCTGCGTTCGCCCTAAAATGGCTGTAGCTCGTCTAAACGCCGCCCGCACGAGAGGCGCATGGGCCTCAACATTTAGGCCCACTACTACACGCAGAGGAGCCCAAGGACCTAGGGTTTCCACCTCTACGCCGCCGCACACATATAAATCCTGTGACCAAACCCTCGCCTCCATTCTTCGCCCGCCGCCGCCGCCCCAGTCCCCGAGCCGAAGCAGCGCCTCGCACCGCTCCGATCCAATGGCGCCGACGTCGAAGCTGTCGATTGGCATCAAGCGCGCGTCGCGGTCGCACGCGTACCACCGCCGTGGGCTGTGGGCCATCAAGGCCAAGAACGGCGGCGCCTTCCCCAAGGCCGAGAAGCCCGCCGCCGCCGCGGAGCCCAAGTTCTACCCCGCCGACGACGTCAAGCCCCGCGTCCCCAGCACCCGCAAGCCTAAGCCCACCAAACTCAGGTGCCGAAGTCATTCCTTCGAGTCGCAGACCGCGTGGTGTTCGTGTTTATTTCGCGTGGAGATTTGATTCCAACCGCCCTTCGTTTGTTCAGGTCGAGCATCACGCCCGGGACGGTGCTGATCATCCTCGCTGGGCGCTTCATGGGGAAGAGAGTGGTGTTCCTCAAGCAGCTCAAGTCCGGTCTGCTCCTCATCTCTGGTGAGCCACGCTTAGTCCACTTATCCCTTTGGTTTGTTTCTGTGGTCGGTCGCGCCGCCGCCCCTAATCACAGCCAACTAGCCGAGTAGTGTGGATCTATATCAATCCGTAGTTAAAAGCTTTGTAGTTTATGCATAATCAGTTGAAAGTTAGTTGTAAATGCTTACTCTGGTTAGCTCAATCTGGGAACTATATTATTTGTAGAGTCTGGTGTGACGACGGGGTGTATATATTAGCAATTGGAATAATAATAAGGTACTTCGAAGATTTTTGAAGATTGTCTTGCAACTACACATTTACTCGAATAGGTGAACCGAGTTTTTAAGGATTAAGGAATCTGAATACACATTTACTTGAATATTTGGACCGAGTTTTTAATGAATCCGAATCCAGTTTGGACCATGGGACCTGTATGTGTGATAGAAGCATTGGTTCTTTGATGGCACTGTTACATGGTTAAAAAATAGACTGTTGTACTATCTGCATTCTCATGTCTTTGACCTGGTGCAAACATTTTTACTATATAAGTAATGTAAGCCAAGACTCCTAGGAATGTTCGGATTTATAATAGTTACTTTTAGTTGAAGTTGATAAAACGATTCTGTTCACCATCACAACCATACCCTGCAGCTTGTCTAGCTGCATGCCTCTGTTCATGCATGCAAAAGAGTTTTTTTTCCCCATCCTGTTCTACTTGATATTGTTTTTCCTGTCATTAGTTTCTTAATAATTTTGTTATCTTTCAGGGCCTTTCAAGATCAATGGAGTACCGATCCGCCGTGTGAACCAGACCTATGTCATTGCTACATCAACCAAGGTTGACATCTCTGGTGTTGATGTCGCAAAGTTTGATGACAAGTACTTTGCGAGGGAGAAGAAGCAGAAGGCGAAGAAGACTGAGGGCGAGCTTTTCGAGACTGAGAAGGAGGTAGGTGTCCGAGCAACATGATCTGTTGTTTCATCGACCCTTTGTGCTCCATGTTGTGATTACCGTGCTTCATGTCTTTTGATGAATCTGTGCAGGCATCCAAGTCTCTGCCTGACTTCAAGAAGGATGACCAGAAGGCTGTGGATGCTGCTCTGATCAAGGCTATTGAGGCTGTCCCAGAGCTGAAAACCTATCTTGGCGCCCGGTTCTCTCTCAGGGATGGTGACAAGCCCCACGAGATGGTCTTCTAAGCTTTTAGTTTTTGAGTTCGGAGGAAGTCGTTTTGCCTGTGTGCTCTTGTACTTCTGAGTTTTGTACCCGGGGTAGTGAACAATTTCATTCTGATTGAAGTCTGCCTGTTAAATATTATGAGAAGATCTATGAAAGCTTTGTCCGTGTTGGTGGTTCAGCATTGCACTATCTGCTTTTGGTTCTTTGGGTAGGTCAATGTTGTCTTGAGATCCCATTTTGTTCGTTTGAATTGCTGACTGTACGTTGTTTTTGCTATCGTTTGAGTGCCTCAACGACAAATGAGCCAACTCCCCTGTCGCTCTCATCGATTCGATTTTTTTCATGCTGCCACACCAGTTAGACAGGAGGAACAACATTCCGTTGTGTTGGAGTAGTCATTAGCTACTCCATGACCCCTTGTGCAGATTGTTGGTCCTTGAACTTGTCTCTTGTTCTAAACCCTTGTGACGCCATACATGCTTGACATGTTTGCATTTTTTATTGAAAAATAAATGTGCTCCATCCTCATCCAATCGTTGGCAGACAAAGCAGACGGCGTCCGCTGTCAAGCCTCTTCGTTTCAGGTTTGTTGTCAGAGAAAGAATATGTGGCCAACCTCCAAACAATTCAGCTTCCAAATTTCCCCAAAAATGAAATATGCCCACAACTCTTAACCTGCTCAATTGTAGGCACCCTTTGACGCTGGCTTTGTCGTTGTGCATCATCATAATATAAACCCATATGCTTATCTAACTGAAAGCATGCCATTTCTTTCTCTCTTTTTTGAACTCGAAAGCATGCCATTTCTGTTCTAATGCCATGCAAAGAAGATCATCCATGCGTGATACCAATTTCATTTTTCCGAATGGTTGGTTTTCTTGATTTTGATTTTGGCTTGAGTAAAATAAGAAACTGAAAGCGGCGGCCCATGGCACATTTGCACGGCCCAGCAGGAAGCTACCCTAGGCAAACGCCTCTGTGTATATCCAGGGGTGGAGGCGCGGCGGCACAACCAGATCACCGACTACCGTCCTCCGATCAAGCCGAGGGCACCCTTGGCGTCCATGCTCGTCCGTGTTGCATCCGGCACATCCCGCTTAGCTCTCCCAGTGGTTGCCGCTTTACCTCGCGCTGCCCACTCGGGTGATCATGATCTGATCCTAGGCAGCGATGCCTTCAAGCGGCAGTTGTTTGGATGCGCACAGCACACTCGCCGCTCTTTCTGCACCCATTCGTCCTCCGCAGGTATACATCTTCTGAAACTTGTGGCTAAACAATGGCCTCATCAAGTCATCATGCTTGGGATTTTGATGGAACGCTGTCTTGTGTCCACTGATCGATGTGAACTTTTGTTCACGTAGGTAAAGAAAATCTATATAATGAGTTTTTTTTATGAGGAGAAGGACATGGATTCAGATGAAGCACTCTGGGCCTTACCATCGCTGGTGCAAGCATCACATGTTAGTTGATCTCCACGGTCTATTGGACCTTTGGATCTGCGTCCTGATCGGGGGCGCTCAACCCTAATATGGTTGGTGAACCCTTGTCGCACAGCACTATAAAGAGAGGTGGGGATCAGGACTCGAACTACGAGGTTGACCTGAGCCGCTGTAACCATCTACAGAGAAACACTAATCCGATCTAAAAAAGGGTGCTGCCAGCGACGGGAAGCCCCACCGACTCCGCCATCGCCACTGCAGTGCCACCACCGGGACGCTGTACCTCGCGCCGCCGTAGGGACTGCGACTGCACTTCATCTCCGGTCGCCGCGGGCGCACTAGCTACCAAGGTACACCAACAGATGTTTTTACCCGCTAGATCTACACCTAGAGTTTAGAACTTCCTAACAATGGTATCGGAGCCAAGGTTGCCAGTGTGTAGATCTAGTATGAGGTAAAGCATAGAAAAGAAATCAAAGAAAGAACAAGGGTTCGATCCGTTTCGGATTGAAACCCTAACCCTAACGGGTAAAAGAAAATAGAAAAGAGACCGGGAGGGTGGCGGAAGTCACTGACTGTCGGTCACCACCGCCACCGCGCGGGGAAAGGTGCCGCACCGCCGTCTTCGCCGGCGCACGGCAAGAAAAGAACAGACCTCGTTCGGATCTGAGAAGTGAAGAGAAACAGGTCTCGGCACGCGAAGCCAAACCCTAACCCACGAAGCACTCGCTGGGGAAGATGAATAGTAACTCCAGTGAGTCTAATCCTAACCCATCGGGGAAGAAGAACAGTAACCCTAACCCTAACCACAACCCCAAATCGATTCAAGATCCAAAAGAGAAGGGGGAGAGGGGAAGGGACTAGAAACGATTAGAAAAGGAAAGAATGAATTAGATCCTTTCAGATCTGAGCAGACAGAAAGGGTTCCCTAACCCTAACCCTAACTGGGTGAAGAAAAGAACAAAAGAAGAGGAATTCGACCTAGAAGAGAATCAAAGCCGAACCCTAAACCCATGAAGAATCTCTGGGGAAGAAGAACAGTGGGTCGGATTCCGAATCCTAACCCTAGATCTAAACTCTAATCCCCAACACCGGTTCGGATAAGAGAAGAAGAATCCAAATCCAAAAGAAGAAGGGGACGGGGAAAAAGAGGAAAGGGACCTACCTCGCCATGCGCCGGGCTGACCTTTCACGGCGGCGGAGAGAAGAAGACCCGAGCAGGGAGCTATTTTCGCCGGGCTCGGCAAAGGCGCCATGCAATAAACCCGCTTCGACGGCGGCGTGCTCACCCATTGAGGCGCGCGCCTGCCTGCGAGGGGCCCAACAACGCCATGGCTGCCATGGCTGCCCGCCCATTCGCTTCGCTCGGTGTCTTGCATGGCAAGAGAGAGAGAGAAAAGCGTAAGAGAAAGAAAGGAATGGGGCTAGGGTTTTCTGGCCAACGCGGTCGAGCGGGTTTTTGATCCCGCGAACCCTGCGCTCGACCGTCGGATGAGATTCGACGGCGAAGTTTCAACGGGCCACTCTCGGCCGGGCGCCAAGGCACAAGGGCTGCTTTTACCGAGGCCGAAAGTCTGGCACAGGTCGGTATAAGACATGCCAGCAAGAAAGTGAAAAAACGATCTTGGGCGGACCCTTTGTCAAGAGTTCGATCCAAGATCGTTTTTCCTTTTTATTTTCCGATGGTGCTTATTTCTGGAAAAATGAAAAATAGCTAAAAAAATAGAAAAAAGTAAATTTTCTCTTTGGGAAAAATTCAAGAAATTGAGTATACGTTTTCCGCTACTAAAGAAATTGTTTATTCTCCAGTTATTTTGAACCAACGTGATATTTAATTGAAGAAAAAGAGATTTTGACATGATTATGATGTTGTTATTTTCTGACCAACGTTGTTAATAACAATATCGTAATCAACCAACGTGATATTTAATTGGAGAAAAAGAGATTTTAACATGATTATGATGTTGTTATTTTCTGACCAACGTTGTTAATAACAATATCGTAATTTTAATGATTTTATACATTAATTCTATTTCTGCCCAACGGTGATGTAGAATTAGTGTATAATAATAGTTGTATGTTTTAATTTTGACCAACGTTGGAATCAAGGCATGCAATTGTTGTTATTTTTATGTTAAGAAAAAGATTGACCTGGCCTTCATCTTGGCTGAGGTGGACTAGGTAGTCACCTCACCGTATTCCACTGAGCCTATGGCACTGGTGAGGGAGACAAACGAGGTTGATGCCGCTTGGGCAACTAAAGAGAGGGATTTTGAATCACAAAATATATCCTATGACCTTGAGCATAGGAAGTGGGTCACTGTCAACAAGAAATATTTGACTGTGATAAAGAACACGATTAAGCCTGCAATTGTGGGCCCAATCCCAGAGTGTGACACGGTCACCAAGTACCTCGATAGAATAAAGAGTCAGTTTACTGGTTCTTCAAAGATATATGCTACCCAGCTGATAAAGCAGCTGGTGACAGAGAGTTACTCTGCAAATGGTGCCATAAGAGAGCTCACGATGCGTCGTCGAAATTATGACACTGTCATTTAGGCCATATTTCGAGGGGGAGAATAGGAAGACTAGTTAAGAATAATATTCTTTCTCCATTAGAGCTCTCAGATTTAGAACAATACAGAGAATGCATAAAAAGAAAGTATGTAAAGAAAATTAAGAAAGATACTAAACGAAGCGCAGGAATTTTACAGATTATTCACACAGACATCTGTGGTCAGTTTCCTATAAAGAGTGTGGATGGTTATGATTCGTTCATAACATTCATAGATGATTACTCCCATTATGGCTACATTTATCCAATTAAAGATAGAACAGAAGCATTGGATAAATTTAAGATTAAAGGCGGAAGTTGAAAAACCAACACAATTTAAAGATTAAGATAGTCAGGTCCGACCGTGGGGGGAGTACTACGGTCGGCATACCCTATATGGCCAAATTCCTGGACCTTTGCAAGGTTCTTACAGGAGAATGGCATAGTAGCTTAGTATTCTACACCGGGTGAACCTCAGGAGAATGGAGTAACTGAAAGACGCAATCGTACCCTAATGGATATGGTGCGTGGTATGATAAGTTACTCCACCTTACCGTTGAGCCTGTGGATGGAGACGTTAAAAACCGTCATTCATATTCTCAATTGAGTACCAAGTAAGTCGGTGCCCAAAACACCATATGAGTTGTGGACAGGAAGAGTACCTTTGCTAAACCACTTACGTGTGTGAGGGAGCCCTGCTGAGGCTAAAGTATTTAACCTAAACATTGGAAAGCTAGATCCCAAAACAGTAAGTTGCCATTTCATTGGCTACCCAGAAAAGTCAAAAGGTTTTCATTTCTACTGTCCAGATAGACATATAAAGTTTGCGGAAATGAGACACGCTGTCTTCCTAGAGGATGAAATGATGAGGGGGAGCATGGTAGCTCGAGAAATTGACCTTGAAGAGAAGCGGGTGTATGCGCCCACTCCGATGATTTATGAGTCATTTTTCTCACTACTGCATTGTCATTGCACCAGACAAAAAGATATCTTGGTGCCAAACACTGCTATTCCGCCTGTGGCAACA